TAGGATAAATGCGATGCTAAACACAGTAATTAATAGAAAATACTTTCATCTAACCCTCTAACATTTTACGCTTGAAATTTTTAACCTTTAGTGTTCAAGTTCCGCGCAATAATTTTTAGCAAAACCATAATATCAATTCTTGCAATCATCGTCAGCCCACAGGTTATTATTGTGACAAAAAAGGATCTTTGGGAGATTTAAAAATATCCTCTGTCTCTATCAAAATTTTGAGTAAAAAAACTTGGATATAATAAGTTTAGTAAAACTGACTATGTTGTCCTTTTTTTAGTTTAAAAATTCAAAAGATACATCTTTATTTAAAATATAATGAATGTTTTGAAACGGCTCCTTCAAACTTGACACTGATTAGAGTTTAATGAAGATATAATTATTCATAAAAATAACATCTGTCTGTAAACATTGTATTCATTATTCTTCAGTCAATGTATATGTATCCGAACTAATATACTGATATTGGTCTAATTATATACACATGTACGGATAGTTCTTCAGACAGCTAGAGACAGATAAATAAGTAAATCTGTGAGAAAATCCGCTAATAATACGTCATGCATCAAAATTGTAGTTTATGTTTTTTTTTGTAGATTTGATACGGTGAACACATTTTCTACAGGTTTCCTTTTTATCTACCTATTTACCTATCTACCTATCTACCTATCTACCTATCTACCTATCTACCTATCTACCTATCTACCTATCTACCTATCTACCTATCTACCTATCTACCTATTTAATGAATCAAAATAATGAGAACGTGTAACCTAACAAGGAAAATAAATCTTTCACATGATTTCTGGAACACCATGGAACCCTATAAATGAATACATTTTATCAAATATATCGAAAATAAATCCTATATTTTCGTAGGTTTTTTTGGAACACCATGGAACCCTATTAATGAATATAACTTTTTTTTCAACGATATAAAAAAAAAATCATACACTTTCGCAGGATTTTCGGAACACCACGAAATCCTATTAATGGATATATCTTTTTTATCAAAGATATCGAAAAAATTTCCTTTATTTTTGCAGGATTTTCAGAACACCATGGAACCCGATTAATAGATACTGCTTTATCAAAGATATTGAAAATGAATCCTGTATTTTCGTAGGATTTTCGGAACACCATTGAACCCGATTATTGAATATAACTTATCAACGATATCAAAAATAAATCCTACACTTTTGCAGGATTTTTGGAAAACCATGGACCCTGATGAATGGATAGTTTTTTATCAAAGATATCAAAAATAAATCCTTCACTTTCGCAGTATTAAACGAATACGTTTATTCCGTTAAACGAATATAAAATATCCTTGTAACGGAATAAATAGACAAATAAGTGTCATGTATGTGAACTATGTGGATATAGGGTAGTATAGTATAGTAGGTATATTAGAGAAAACTAGAACCACTCAACCAGCACAATTATCATTTAATTTTATCTCTGAGACAGTGAAGGATCATTTCAGATAAAAGAACAGGGTTAAATACCCCCCCTTCTCCTCCCCCCCTCGAGAAATATTGGTTGTGATTTTATATATGTAAGCGAGAAAAATTAAGTAAAAAAGTATGATTTAGATATCATCCATAATTTATAAATAATTTTAATGGTTTAAAAACATTTGATTTTTTGGTCGAATATTTTACTAAACAAGATTAGATAAAAGATAAAAAGATCTTTAATAAAGATCTTCTCGGAAAAGTAAGTTTTAAAGGAATTGAGTCTTTGCCACAAACTCTGAATTTATAATCCTTATATCTTTGGAAACCAATGTCGTAGATATTTGATATTTCAAACTTATATCATTTGATCTAACAGATTTCATAGTTTGAAATATCTAAGGTCTACGACATTGGAATCCAAAGATATAGGGTTTAGAAAAGCAGAGTTTGTGGCAAAGACTCAATTCCTTTATTTGGACATTTTAAGATTTTTTTTTATTTAAAGAATGTAAAAGCTGTATTAGCACGATTTGATTTAAAACACGCAAAGTTAACATATATATTTTTTTCAAAGAAACATGGCTCCAGTTCAATCATATTTTTCAATTTTGGTTTACTTTCTAAAAATCAAATCTGGTATTTAAAACAAGAAGTTATTTAAAACCATGCATCGAATACTTGTTTTTGAACTATATAGATTAAATATGCGATAAGTAAGAATGGCAAAACATATATCTTAATTTGGAAAATATTTGATATAATAATATTTAGGTATAATTTCTGTATTCTTGAATTCTGAAATTCTGATTGTGAAATCTGCTGTAAACTATTATACAACAAGCTGACAGTACAGAAATACAAATATAATGAAAATGTTAAGGATACTATAGATGAACTAGCGTGCTTATATAATCGAATTAATCCCGTTTTAAGTTGAAATTAACGATTATAAATGGAAGATCATTCCCGGAAGACTATTTGGGAAGGTTCGGAAGCCCTACGGGGACGCGCACTCCCGCAAATAGGTTAAATTGAGGTTCGGAAGCTGTGCGGGGGAGGTTGCCACCCCTCCCTCGTGTGAACTAACATGCGCAGAATATGAAATTAAACATGATATCTTCCCAACATTTGTCAACCGTTAGAAAACTGTTTTTATTCGTAGGATTTAATCTAATTTAAATATACAAAAAATAATAATTTAAACATAGATTATTTAAACATTAAACATGAACATTGGACATACAGTGTGTCCCACGTACATGATATTTGGTAAAATGCCTTCTTCCATAACGCAAACATGAGTCCAGACGGTTTTAAGTGTATGGTGTGTACTGTAAAGAAGAAATATTTTAGTATATAAATTGGAAGGAATAAATATGATGTTTGCTAGGTGTTTAAGAAATAAGAACAATTAAATAATTTTAGTTCCACCGGCCCGGCCTTTATAGAATCCTTTAATAAGTAAACCAGGGAAATATTTAATGAATCACGAGAAATATTTAGAAAACGTAGACGAAGGGTAATCTCTTCTCTAGTGCGCTTGTTACATTTGAAGATAAGTGGTTCAACCTAGTTTACGTAGTTCAACTATTTCTCACTATTTCCGCTATTAATTTGGTCCCAGCGAGGGGGGTATATAGCACATTTTTTCTTTCAATGTGAGCAGGGGCTCAGCACCGTAGGGTCCCATAAACCCCCTGGATCTAATAGTCCCCCCCCCCCTGTATACACCTTTGGTCCAAGTGTCTTATTTATATGTCATTTAATACTTGTGATAAGAGATACAGAGAACAGATAATGAATGACACCGAATTAAATGAACTTCTTTGTTGTTATTTAAACCATCATTAAAAATTATGGTTTCCGGGTCAACCTGTTTTAAAAACTGGAAACAATTAAATAATTTATACAAATATTAAAACAATAAAAATACGTGAACCGTGCATACATGCATAGGTACGCGCAGTGTATTTCCTTATAATCTAGGTTTTATTTTGAATAAATAATGAAGAAAAAATCAGAATGTAAAATCCGTTAGAAAACTAAAGAATTTTAGACTCCAGGTGTTCAGCAGACCGGATTTGAGATGTTACAAAAACAAGCTAAACTCTGTTTAGTTTAGATGGATCTCAGGTCGGAATTAATGAAAAAAGAACTAATTCTCTAGTGTGAGTCAACTACTTTTTCTTATTGATTAAATCCGAACTCTCTTCACATCAAACGGATTGAAAATTTTCTTGCAATTTTATTTTATTCTTTAAATGAGAATTGTTATAACTCAAAAAAAATGGACACGGAACTGTTTCCTAAAAAATCTATTAGTTCGGGGACATTTATAATAAATTAAATTGTTTCTATATTTTATAATTTGTTGATTAACGGCATTTTGTTTGTTGATCACATGTGAAACAGTTCAAACCGATCTGACATTTTTTGTTGCTATTTTTGTTATTTATGGATCATAGCTAAAGGCTTCCTTCAAAGTTAACGAGTAACTAAAAAAAACTGAACGCTTGTCACAAACTCTAGTTTTATTATTTTTACATCTTTGCATTTTCAACCTGATGTCTCGCAAACTTTTTGTACGTCAAACTATGAATTCTGATAGATCAATTAGTTTTTTGAAGTATAGCATTGGTTTACATCCTCAAAATATAGAGATTTGAAGATTAAAGTATATGTAGCGAGTCTACTTCTATATAATATACATGTTCTGCATTCTTGAAATTTGCAAGCCTATGTTTATTTTAACCGTTGCGATTTTTATCATGAAATATTTGCAATACCCTAAAAAAGATAAGATTGTTAAAATAAAAGAGATATTTGGCAGATATTCAAGGTTTGGGGGAAATTGTTATACACGCATAACTCTAATAAAGTAGTCTCTTATGTTTAACACTGGTAGAACTGGGGGGTGGGGGGGGGGCGAAAACGCCTCGCCCCCTATATACAGCATTTACGAAATACTTCACTATCTTTGTAAGAAAGCTCTTCGCTCATATTTATGTATTTGTATATTTGTATATTTGTATATTTGTATATTTGTATATGTTACCAATAGCCGGCCAAAATTTTCAATTTTTTTCTTTCGAAATTCAATTTTTTTTTTTATAAATTATGATTTTTTTAAGATCACAGGCAACGGTTGCGCCGGGCACTTCAGCTAGTTATATATATATATATATATCCAATTCTACGTGTAATGTTGTGAAGAATAAATATTTATGTCAGTTTTAATATAAAACTCACCATGCTGCCTTAGATAGTCAGTTAGATAGATATATAGATAACAAGATATAGATTAAACATATCTTACTGTGCCAATGATTACCTCAGGGTTTAATTTTAAGGACTTTTTGACGAATAAAAATTCTTTCTCAGATTCATATTACTATAAATACACATTCACATACTTTTCTTTATTTTGGAACTTCAGTTTGAATGGTGATATTTTTATTGAAACTGAAGTTCTGCTCTTTATTATTTTTTTTACATTTTTCAAGAAATAATTATTTCTTAATTTTCAGAAGTTATGTACTAAAAATGCGAAGGTATGAGAAGACACCGTTTGTGTGTCTGTCCGACGCAGTAGCTGTCTGTTTACTCACAGATGTACAAGGATGGGCTCTTCTTTGCTTGTCTGTTCAGGTATGTACACTGTACGTTATTATGTACCGTGAATGTGTTTTATGTACTCATAGTGTACGTTAAATAGAGTATAAGATGATTGTATATTGACCATTTTGAAAAAAAAATTGCGCGTTTATTGCACAAAACTTTCATACAAATACGTCATTTCGAACAGTATGCTGCACGAAGTTAAAGTACGTTATACAGTTTTGTTTTTACATAACTCTCCCTCTTCTTCTTTTTACTCTAACTCACGTTTAAACGTTGTCACTTTTACTCAAGCTTAAATTTGTTGCAAAAAACGCGCTGGGTCCACTAATTATTGGGTTCACTAGACGGGCCTCTACGAGGGCTCATATGTTATAAAACTTATTTTACCTACAACATGCAATATCCTCAATCAACCCCCTTTTACAGTGCCCCTCCTAGGGTTGGGTGTCGCTCCTGGGGAACAATCGTTCTTTCACAGGAACGAAGGAACACATACAGCCTAACTAATCCCATCCACCCATACCCTTAAACTCCGCTGTAAGAACCCTTTTAAAAGTATACTTGAAAGCTAGTTTTTAGTTTAATTTCAAAATTCACAATGTTTGTTCTCACGGCGCGGCATGCGCAGAGCTTGCACGAAAACAACAAATGTACAATATTATTTTATTATTATTGAACATATCGATATCATGTAGTTTTCTTGTCATGCAGCAGGCTTCTTCTAACTGTTTTATTTCATAGCACAAACAGAGATTTAAGGGCATGCATTTTGTAATGCTTTGAAGGAAATATTTAGTTGATAACAGTGTGTCATTTTCATTCACCCGTAAATTATAATCCCTTCTTTTGTCGTTGTAACCCCTCCCTCCTTTATTCTTCAACAGTACCCCCCCCCCCATCCTTCTCCGCTATCGTTTACTAATCCGCTGTCTTATATTAACCCTACTATATCCTAACCTTTTCTTCCTACGTCTACCTCCTTCTTTTAGAAATATATATATATATATCAAACAAATAGGAAATAGATACTTAGTCAAGGAAGGGTTTAATACATATATATATTTATCTATTTATTTTAATGCTAATGCATATATATATCATATACTAGCTTGGGAACCCAGCGTTGCCCAGGTTACTCATATTCACTCCCGCCGTTTACCCGCATTTGGTCGTACATTTCGATTTTAGACATTAAAGTCGACTCAACTTAAAATCTCAAAATCAGGATAAGAATATTCCCGGGGCTTTCTCGAGTTCCACAATAAAAAATTGAGGCAAATTAGTCCAGGGGTTCCTGAGTTATGATCGGACAAACAAACAAACAGACAAACAGAGATCAAAACTTTATATATATAGAGATACTTTGTGATGGGATATGGTATGATTTTGCTGAATAGGTTACATACATAACTTATTTACAAATATATACATACATACATTGCGCAATTTTATACGATACGCTGAATGAAAATAGTGAAATTTCTATTATGGAATATGTATTTTTATAGTTTATCACTACTGCATAATATCTATAAAGTTATAATCGGAAGGATACGAAAGTATGTATTTTTATAGTTTATCACTACTGCATAATATCTATAAAGTTTTAAGCGGAAGGATACGAAAATATGTATTTTTATAGTTTATCACTACTGCATAATATCTATAAAGATTTAAGCGGAAGGATACGAAAATATGCATTTTTATAGTTTATCACTACTGCATAATATCTATAAAGTTATAATCGGAAGGATACGAAAATAAATTATTTCTTTATAAAACTAAATTTAAATAATTTAATTATTTTATATTTAGAAGTTGCAGGACAAAATACTTGAATCTTCAGCTATTACAGGAATCTATTCTGAAGGAATACAAACATTTTTAAATATTTTATTATTTCAAACTAAGAAATTAATTTTTGTTTTTTTGTTCTTAAAGCTATAAATTAATGTTCTTACTACAAAAATGAAAAATTGAAAGAAAAAAATGACCAAAACATTTCAATTTTTAATTATAAAATTTAAAGATTTATTTCTAAATAATCATGCAATTTATATATAGCATGTCACAAGGTCAAGTTTTCAAGTGTGAGAGAAATTAAGTCAATTATAAGGCGTATC